GCTGCAGTAAAATGGTTTCGTATGAGGTGTGCATATAATATGGAATGTCCCTTATAGGAACTGACCATTGGTTTTTTCTACGTATTGGAAATGGGGTCTTTATAGCCTTCTAAAGTGCCACATGGTCCCATATCTCAAAAATGCTGCAGTAAAATGGTTTGATATGAGGTGTGCATATAGTATGGGACATCCCGTATAGCTGCAGTAAAATGGTTTGATATGAGGTATGCATATAGTATGGGACGTCCCGTATAATAATTGACCATTGTTTTTTTCTACTTACTATAAATGGGGTCTTTATAGGCCTCTGAAGTAGAATAATGTCCCATATCTGGTTTAGTATATATAGCCTACTAAAGAATATGATGTCAGCAATTTGATCATATGTTTCGGTTCCTGACAAAAGTATTTTAGATTTTACGTTTATTTTCATATGATACAACAGAAGAGTAGAGAGCAGTATGATCATTATTTTGTGGTTCATCTGAGTATTTATTTGATTACAGAACAAAATATAGCAATCAAAATTAACTTGATAAACATTCAAATACTTTAAAAGTTTTTTTCTTTATATACACTCTCCACCTGGTTATGCTATGCAAAAATGTTTTTATCATTACACACATACACAAAGGAGACTAACGTAATTTGTTTTGTCTTTGTGGTTTTTAAGCAGATTCTGCCATCAGCCAGTCTGTGATTTCTCTCTGGTTTTCAGCCACCCATTTTATATTGGCTTTTGTCTTCTCGATGGCCTGTTCCAGAGCTGCTGTCCCTGATCCAAAGCCGATCTCTGCATTGTCACTCTTAAACTGCAGAAGCTTTTCACATGTTGAGAGATATGAGGGGGAAAAAAAACAAAACAGAAATTAATTAGACAAGTAATCTGTTCAACCTGTTTAGCAGTTTCACATGAGTTCAGGTGATTAATTAAATTCTTACAATGTTATTGTTTTAATTATGTACCTATAGAAAATACACACCTGCTCAAGTTCTGATTCAGTTGAAAATGTTTTGGTTATGCCACTTATAAGGTTGGCAAAGTTAAAAGACCCCACACCATACCTAAGGACACAAATGCATTCTGTTCATCACATTACTGCATTTATTTCAATTCATTAAAAAGGAAAAATGTTGCTGTTATCTTGTATATGAGCATTTGTGTTGTTCATAAATCTCACTCTGTGAACATATACACCCAGTTCTTCCTGACAAAATCCCAAGCCAATGTCTGACCGTCTGGGTTGCTGGCAATATACACAATGACAGAGGTAGCGTCCTGTTTACGGATTATTGATGCGTCAAGCGTGTATCCAAGGTACCTATATTTATGACAATAAAAAAAAAATGTTATTCCTTTGAAAAGTTTCTATATGTTCCCAAAGAACAATATATTTCAAACCTTTCTAAAAGTGTGGTATCTTTTGCACAAGCCAGGGCTGACATGAGTTTATCAGCTTCTATTCCGATGGTGGCGGTCTTAAACATCAGCCATCCAAAGTCCCACTCGTCAGCGCCACCTGAGGCAATAGCACTACAGTACACTGTAGACCTTAAGTTGGGGTGAATTCTGGAAAAAGCGATCTGAATTAGATTTATGTAATAATGTGGACAGCCAGATTTTTTTTTTCCTGCAGTACAACATTGGATTGCTTGACTAGAAGACCAAACTACTGAGTGCTCTAATGCATGGGTAAACTCACGGGTTGTGGTTTGTTTGGTCCATCCACTGTCTGTACCAGCCTGTAGTGAGATTTTGACACCCATCTACACCAGTGCTGCAGGCAAATCTAATGGCATTAACTTGATTGTACCTACACAAGGAAAATTATATGAATACATGCCAATTATTTATGACGTACCCCAATAAAGAAGATAAGTTCATTGGAACAAAATTTTGAGATGTCATTATTGAGTTATGGATCACTTACTGGTCTGTATGGCCAGTGGGAACATGCGACCAATCTTCGGTAATAGTCTTAAAATGTTCAAAAAGGGGGGTCACCTGCTTCCTGGTGTAATTCTACAACAACAACAAAAACTGCTAAATTCATATTACTATTACTCTGAAATCAACATACATATATTCAAGGAAAAATAAGTTTATAGGTTTCAAATGCTAATATATAAGAAGTATTAGAACAGACCTGTAAAAGTTCATAGACATCAGTTTGTGTAAACATAAGGTAAAAATAATCCAGGTTGTTCAGTGCAGACTGCCATGGCATGTATTCTCTTTCTTCAGATAAGTACTTTGTAGTTTTTAGGGCTAAAGTGACCGGAATTATCTTTGCCCTTGAAAAAGAATGATAATTAAGTATGCAACTGATTTAATTCAAATGTGCTTGCACAAATAAAATATACATATTATTATATTATATTATATTTCACATCTAAATAAACTGTACCCCAATTCTCTTTATGTCTTTTTACCTCACAAGGTTAAATGCATCATCCACTATCTGAGCTCTGTTGATGACTGGGACGGCCTTCAAAAAAATAAACCAAAAAGCGATAATTGTGGTGTCATTTTTTTCCTGATTAATTAAAACTGGGTCTGTGATTTCAATCACATGTCTGTGTCTTTACCTCATGGTTCTCTGTCAGTTGATTCAGGAGACACTCCCAGTTCTCAGTGTCATAGTTCACTCTGTAATATCCAGTGATGTTCAGATTCACCAGCACCCACTCATTTCCAGTTGCCTTCATATCAGAGTGAAAAGCTGCATACATACATAAAAATGTATAAATCAAAATGATGAGCTTGTCCCAGTCATAGGAACAAACGACACCATAAAACTTATGTTGTGTTCATACCAGTTTTTTCTGTGAGCCAAAAGCGTGACTGTTCCACCTCTGCCTTCATCCAGTTGATGGGTACAATCCATTCATAACTATAAAATCAGAAAAATAGACATAACACTAAAGAAAACATCTAAAAACAACACAACCTGCTCAGGTAGCTTTAGAGATGAATTTAGACCTACTTGAATGGAGACTGCCTCTGTAATGAAGACTCAGGATCCAGAAGGAAGTGCATCTGAGAGACCTGGCCTGTCGTAGTGTTGACTGTGACCACTGGGAAGCCCATTTGAAGAACCCAGCGGTCCATGATCTCTTTGACACTTAAGGGAAGAACTGTTCCAGTCTTATCAACAGCCTAGAGGTGGTAAATGAGAGTGATTAATCAACCACTAGTCGATTAGGCAGTACTGACAAACTGTTTGAGTTAGTTTGGATTTAGTCATTTGTGGTAAATATCAAATAACTGACCTGTTAATTATTAGTATGAGATTACAGGTTTTGATTTCTGATGCAACTCACAGTTTGAAGGTGATTCCACAGGTCCTCACCGACTGTATTTTGATAGGCGAACATGGTAAGATATGTCTTTTAGGGAGAAAAATAGCAGAAATATAGCAGATTCAAAACAAAACAAAACATGTATTTATATGGTGTAAAGTAACTGTGTTGTAATTTGCTCACATTTAGGCCTTGCACGAACACAGGCTCGGTAAGGAAGTCTGACAGCATTCTCAACACCGACGCCCCCTGCAGGTTACCAGAGAAAAGAGTTCGATACTAGTAATGATCAATGTATTTCAAAGTGTAGGCTATCAAACGTACAGCACCTTGCTGTAGGAGACTGTATCAAACTGCTCAGTGATCTGCTCTGGTTTTATAATATCTTCCTCATTCGAAGACAGGGGATGGGAGGAGGCCAGAGCATCCACAGCAAAAACATGGTGTATGTCTTTAAGGATGATCAAGTCTTTCTGTGAGAGCGATAAGGGAGAAAGATAATAAATACAATAGAGTGCAAATAAATGTTGTTGTTTTTTTCTAAATCTTTTCTAATACATACAACGTTGAATTCTTATGATTAATATTTTTTTTCTATATTATTACTATTATTTCAAAAAACCTAGGTGACGTAAGCGACGTCAGGATTTTTTAATTTATTAATTAATTTATTTTATTGTTCACTATTAGTGTGGAGACAAGTCACAAAAACGAAGATGTGTGGAGTTAAATCACCATGGGCCGCATTTCTGCGAAGGTAACGAACGTGTTTGCTTCAAATATTTAAAGGGTTAGTTCACCCCAAAATGAAAATTCGGTCATTAATTACTCACCCTCATGTCGTTCAAAACCCGTAAGACCTTCGCTCATCTTCGGAACACAAATTAAGATATTTTTGATGGAATCTGAGAGCTCTCTGACCCTCCATAGACAGCAACGCAACTGAAATGTTCCCAGACAGAAACGTAGCAAGGACATCGGTAAAACAGTCCATGTGACATCAGTGGTTCAACTTAAATTTTGCGAAGCTACGAGAATACTTTTTGTGCGCAAAGAAAACAAAAATAACATAATTTATTTAACAATTCTTCTCCCCCGAGTTACGTCTTCTGCCATTTTGGAGAGTACCCAAGAACGTAATCGGCGTTGTTTAGGTTAGGGGGGAAAGCGTGCACATGAACGTAATCGGCGTAATCAGTGTTGTTTACACTTAGGGTAAAGCGTGCATATGCGTTGTGATACTCTCCAAAATGGCAGAAGACGTAACTCGGGGGAGAAGAATTGTTAAATAAATTATGTTATTTTTGTTTTCTTTGCGCACAAAAAGTATTCTCGTAGCTTCGCAAAATTGAAGTTGAACCACTGATGTCACATGGACTTTTTTACCGATGTCCTTGCTTTGGGGTGAACTAACCCTTTAAATATTTGAAGCAAACACGTTCGTTACCTTCGCAGAAATGCGGCCCATGGTGATTTAACTCCACACATCTTCGTTTTTGTGACTTGTCTCCACACTAATAGTTAACAATAAAATTAATTAATTACTTAATTAAAAAATCCTGGCGTCGCTTACGTCACCTAGGTTTTTTGAACCGATGTCCTTGCTATGTTTCTGTCTGGGAATATTTCAGTTGCGTTGCTGTCTATGGAAGGTCAGAGAGCTCTCAGATTCCATCAAAATTATCTTAATTTGTGTTCCAAAGATGAACGGAGGTCTTACGGGTTTGGAACGACATGAGGGTGAGTACTTAATGACATAATTTTCATTTTGGGGTGAACTGACCCTTTAACGGCTAAACGCCTGTTTTGTCCTATGAACATGAAATTAGTTTAATGGAATAATAGGAAGTACACTTTAAATGTAAATAAATGATGTAAATAAAAGTTTATGACTGGTAAATGTTGTTTTAGTTGACCAACCATTGGCAGGTGTAGTAAGTCCATTAAAAGTTTATTAGTTTGTGAACACTTACCACGTTCCAGGATGGTTCAGCAAAGTCTGCACCAAGATATGATACATAAGACGCGAAACCTTCATTTAACCAAACTTCATTCCACCACTTTAGAGTCACAAGGTTGCCAAACCACTGACCAAGAACACAAACAAGTCATAATATTATTATTTTACACATCTTAGTTATATATCATATTTTTATAAATGCAAGTACCATGTGTGCCAGTTCATGGGCTATAATTGTGGCCGTTCTCTCTTTGTTTGCATTAGAGGAGATGACTGGATCATATAGAAGGTTTGTCTCCCTGTACGTCACCAGACCCCAATTCTCCATCGCCCCAAAGTAAAAATCAGGCAGGGCAATCTGGTCTTCAAGGTAGAGAATTAAAAATGCTTGCATATGATTTTTTACCCCAGACAATATTCTTCAAGAGATGATTTAGATGTTTAAACATACCTGATTTTGAGAGTGGATATGGTACACTGTAATAGTTTTCAAAAAACTTGAGGATTGGCCCAGTTATATTCAGGGCATAATCACCATGGCCGACCTCGATGGCTTTCTTACGGGCCCATATTCGTATCTGTTCAGAGTAAACATCATTTAGTCATATGCACCATGAGTAAATATGCTGTAAGGCACACTTTGTGGTCAATAAATGTGAGATTTTTATCTTTTAAAACAGCTGTACAGCTCATGAAAGACGAATAATGGTCGTACCAAGGTGTCATTCGCTGATGTAACATTTGTATAGTCACTGACAACCAGTGCCAATAGATAGGAGGACATGTTCTTTGTGGGTTCAAATGTTGACATCGTAACAGGTTGTCCATCAAGAACAGTGTCAACTTTCTCTGAATGAGGAAAACAAGCAGTAAATTACATCTTATTTGATCTATCTATCTATCTATCTGATGATTTCCAACATGTCTTTAGAAAACAGACAGAGATTTAAAACTTTTTATTTTCTTTTTTGTCTGAAATTTTTATACAGATGCTCTAGGGACCCCGATTTATAGAAATCCATTTTTTAGTTCACATTACCTTACTTAAAATAGTCGACATGTGTGAAAAGAAACTGTTATTGGTAGAACTGACCGATTTCCATTCCATTCGACAGGGCCACGGTTCCTCTGTCATGAATGAGAGTGATGTAGAAAACTGCTCTCATTGCAGGCTCATCGAAACATGGAAAGGTCTTGCGAGCATGTGTGGGATGCATCTGGCTGGTGGCTACTATCCTGGAGGAAGTAATTATTGTTATATCACAAAGATATAGTGCTCGTAACACCAACTGTAGGTACAGACCATAAAATAAGCGCTGGGTTATTACTAGTATGCCATTTTGGGAAACAGTATGTATTTTCTCTGTCCAAACAACGTTTACATGATGATTGAAACTCCCACACCTGAAAAATCTTGTGGATATTATGTAATGCCCAAACACACACATAAAAAAAATGCTTTATGGATCCACTAAGTAATATTTCATGTTTATATGATGGTACAAAGGTTAAACAGGCATAAAGCTGCCAAGACACTTCTCAAACAAACATGTGACCTGTCAACTGCAATAGCCTTGATGCTGATCTTGATAGCTCTGATTTTTCATCCATAAGAGTTCCTGACTGGTTTTATTGAAGATCTGTGTTCATATCTTTAAAATGATAGTTGGACTTACTTTTTCTCTCCATTCTCCTCATATTCACTTCGGTAGAACCCTGCCAGGTCATCTGCAAGTTCTCCCACAAACTCTGTGTAAAGCTCATAGAGCTCTCCAGCATTCAGCTTGCCCTTCAACTGTATGACAAGGTACTGCGTCGTCTCCTGCATCCAGGTTTTCTGAATTGAGGGCGCTACTGAGGTACCAAGCGCAGAGAGTTTGGCCAGATATCCATCTATTGAGGTCAGGTTTAGCTTATTGGAGTGAATGAGGATGAGATCGGTCTCCCTCAGACATTTGAAGACCACGCTGGAATTTCCAGTGAATACAAAGAGGCCGTGAATGTTCGGCTGGAGTCGAGGCCAGAGCGTGATGTTGTAGTAGTCTGGAACCAGAGTGTCTGGTAGACGATGCTCGTTCCAGGGCTCAGCAGGAGGTCCTGTAGAAGGAAGGAGTTGAACGGTCCACAACCCAACAATGGTGGCCAGTGATGCCATCCCCAGGAAAGTGCATCCAACGCACATTGCACTAAAATGGATTCTCACCATGTTCCCCTTCACCACTGGTCAGCAAAGATCAGACCAAACCGTGATGGCATTTTATTTATTCTTCCCACGTTCTCTCCTCCCAAAGGGTATAATGGCTGATCCATTAACACTGAGACTAGCCAGTGAAAGAATCTGGTAACCTGATAAGTTGAGGTGCACTGAGATAATATATTATGGCATGCGTCTTCCCTGACATGTTTATGCAGCCATTACTCTTTAGTAGAATGTGACGCTGAGCATCGTGGGAAAAAGCTCAGAAAAACAAGCACAGGGGCATCACAGCAATGAAATTATCTAATGTAATCCAAAATGTTTTCAGTCAGTGGAACGGTTTATGTTTTTATTAGGCCATATTCTGAAATTATACCTAATAAATGGCTCCAGACCAAGATTGAAATGATAAAAAAAATATATAAAAAATTGACAATAATTTAAAATCGGCATTGGCAACCATCTGGAAAACTTTGTGAGGTATTATCAGACATCATAACATTATGACTCGCTAACAAATGACTGCGAGTTTGTTTTTTTTGTCTGATATGAAATTCCGATTATGAAATTAGACGAGGCTATTTACTGACTGGTTGTTCAAATCACAACATGTAATTAAAGATACATATTCACAATATAAAAATAATAATGGATTGCATAATGGAATGCATTAATACAAACGAATTACAACAAAAAATGGTTATTGTTTACCATCCATAGTATACTGTAACATATAAAGTACTATAGTACAAAAGTTGAAAACTGGCTAGAAAAATACAATTTAGTTCATGGATTGAGGTTTTTATTTTCATTAGACAAAATATCAAAATGATAAATACAGAAGGGTTCTGTACTATTTGCATATTCAGTTCTGTTTTATTCTACAAAGTTATTTTATCATTATACAATTAATTTTTTTACAAAAAAAGAAAAGGGAAAACAGACAATTATAAAGCACGCCTTAAAGAAAGAGATATTTGTATACTGTATATCATCATAGGAAGAAAGTTGCTCTGGAATATATTGGGATTTAGAACATCATTCATAATAAATAATAATTTCCTTTAATGCTCATCTAGGCCAAGCAAAACAATGTCCCAGTGTTCCTCTCCTCCTCAGAGCAAACAAACTACAGTATGTGCATCATTCAGAGTTATGATGGCTTTTTGAACCATTCTAAGACTGCTTCTTGGTTCTTTTCGACCCATTTGATGTTGGCATTAGTCCTCTCGATGGATTGTTCAATGGCAAGGGTTCCTGAACCGAAACCTATGTGAGTGTTGTCATCTCTGAACTGTATCAGCTGTGTTTTTACAACAGGACAGTAGATTAAGAAACATTCAAATGTAAGTATCTGCTGTACAAGATGACAGTCAAATAAATAAAGCAGTCCTGGGGAAGATCGCATACCTGTTGCAATTCAAATTGAGTTGAGAATCTCTTTGTGACGCCATTGATCAGATTGGAGAAAGAGAAAGATCCACCTCCATACCTAATGGAGAATAAAAGTGGATATGCAGTTATTATAGAAAACTGCTATCTGTATTTTTAAGCAAATAAAATCATAAGCCACAAACAAATAGATCCACCTCCATACCTAATGGAGAATAAAAGAAGTGGATGTGCAGTTATAGAAAACTGCTATCTGTATTTTTAAGCAAATAAAATCATAAGCCACAAACAAATTTTCTTACTGTTTGAAAATGTACTCCCAGTTGGCTCTAACAAAATCCCAGGCCAACGGCTGGCCAACCACATTGCTTGCAATGCTGATGATGGTAGAGGTGGCATCTTGTTTGCGAATCTTTTCTGGATCCAAAGTGTATTTGAGATACCTACAACATAAATCAAAGCACATGTCTTTAGCTAAATACATTGAGAACTGTATGCATTTGTCAGCATTAACCTGCAGTGAGCTCACCTGTTCAGTAACCAGGGCTCAGTGGCACATGCCATTGCAGCTCTCAGCTTGTCTTTCTCTGAAGCAATAGTAGCATTTTCAAACATCTCCCAAGCAAAGTTCCACTCCTCCTCACCACCTGCTGCAATGGCACTGCAGTACACTGTGGACCTCAAGCTGGCCTTAATACTGAAGCAGTGAGAACATTTAAAAATCACAGTTAAATGGTATTCATTTAAGGTAATAAGCTTACAATCTACCTAATTACAAAAGTACTGAAATACTGGGACTCATGGAACAAAATAGAGTGAGTGAATGAATCAATTAAATATTTAAATGTACCAGGCGTCCAAAATAACTGTTTCGGAAAACGTTTCTGAGTATAATTCATCACACTACAGATATGTTCTAATAATGTTTGCAGCCAAAATGTGTCTAAATACTTTTTGGTTTGCATTTTAAAATATTTTGTAACATATTTATTGCTTTATACTTTATACTATTTAAAATCTTTTGTTTTGTGAAATTTATCCTTTATCCAATGCAGTGACATTCCAACCCGATCTCATGAAAGTGCGTATAAATAGTACGCCAAATAAAAACGAAAACTCGTGGTATTGATATGCAAAAATGGACTTTGGCGTGTATATGCTACGCGATGGGTAGGTTTAGGGTTGTGGGGTAGATGCCTATCATATGTACGCGAAAACTGCGTATTATATGCACGCCAAACACATGCGTATCATATGCACGCCAAAGTCCATTTTTGCGTATCAATACCACGAGTTTTCGTTTTTATTTGGCGTACTATTTATACGCATTTTCATGAGACCGGGCTCGACATTCAAACAGTTTTAAGTGCGACTAAAAATATCCAAATATGGGCAACTTTAAATGCCTAAGGACGAAATAAAATTGGATAAACTAAAACTGATTGCCAATAATATTAAACAGGATATCTGTGATTATTATAAACATCAGCAACATTTATAATAATAGTAATCTTATAAAACTAAGAAGTAAATAGTCTGCATAAATATACATTTTAACTATGATGCACTCAGGAAACATAATCACATACTCTCCAAGATTTCTACTGAGTGAAACTCACGGGTTGACATTTGGATTGGCCATCCACTGTTTGAACCATCCTGTGATTAGAGTCTTACATTCTTCATTGCCAGTGCTGCAGGCAACTCTGAGTGCATTTATCTGATTGTATCTGCAGATACAAAGACATGAATACAATGAATAGATGTTTGAGAGCAAATCTGAGCATTTATTGTCGCTACTCTATATTTACATGTCGACTTACTGGTCAGTATGTCCTTTAGGCACATCTTCCCAATTTGTAAGCCTTGTGAAGTAATCAAACAAATATTTCACCTTTCTTCCAACATACGACTGCAGGTATGAAAAAATGTGATGTTAGAATTCAAGCTCAGTTGCGTTGACATTCTGAAATATTCAGAGACAAACTTACCTGCATGGGGCCGTACACCTCTGTGCGATCAAACATGAGGTAAAAGTAGTCCAGGTTATCGAGAGCAGCCTCCCACGGCATGTACTCCGTTTCAGAGTTTAGGAAAAGTGTGGTTCTTAGAGCCAATGTCGTTTCAATAATTCCTGCTCTGTAAAGGGAAAAATGCTATTTAGCAGTTGGACTGACTGAAATCACACTAATAACTAAAGAAAGAAGTTCAGATCTTACTTGGCCAAGTTAAAAGCATCATCAATTAATTGCGCCCGGTTAATAACTGGAATGCTCTAAATGAAATCAAATAAAAAAGATTACTGTTGATTATTATGCTGAACAAAAAACAATCCAACTCTTGCTCTAAGTAACAATGTTATGATGTCTAATTTAATAAATGTAATTCTTTTTACCGTTGTTGAATTCTGGAGTACATTAAGTAGGCGTTGCCAGTTATCATTATCATAGTTAACCCTGTAGTATCCTGTTACATAGATGTTGGCCAGAACCCACTCATCAACACTTATTTTCATGTCATTCGATTGGTCTAAATTAGAAATGTAGAGCAGAAATACATGGATTTGTTAAAGCAAGTACAGTATTGTCCTGTATTAACATTGAATGATAATTTGCGAATATAATCACATGCAAAGATAACTAAAGCATGAGAAATCTGTCATCATGGTTTTCTTTTCTCTGTGGAACATGAAGAAATTTAGTAGAATGTTCTTTTTTTTTTCTTCTAATAGTTATGTCATTGTTATATATCATATGCTTTCAGATGATTTGCAATATAAGATACAAATAGTATGGACTGCTTTTATTTAGCTTTTTTGGAAATAAAAGTCTCCATTCACTGTCATTGTATGGAACAGAACAGTTTGAGCATTCTGTTAGACTTCTACTTTGGTGTTCAACATCAGAAACAAAGTCATAAGGATTTGGAATAACATGAATATGTAATGACAGAATTATCATTTTTGGATGATCTATCTCTTCCACAGGAAATATAACTGTGATCATTATTGTCACTGTCATCTTAAAACTCACCAGTTTTCTTTAGCAGCCAATATAGGGGTTGTGCTACTTCTTTCTTTGTCCATGAAATTGGTACAAACCACTCATAACTGAAAAATGAAGCATATTGTGATATAGTAATTCCACATTTCAGCAGAACTTTGTGATTCATTCTTAAGTAGGATTTATATAATAAGTTGGTATGTAAAGAGAATTCATTATAAATGTATATTATTGATCTAATTGTGAACAATTCATCTGTGCATATATTTAATTAAAAAATCTTGTCATTTTTAATCAGAATGTCAGCTCAATCTTCTGGTGAAACTACAAACTTCTCCCTGGTAATGTATGCTAGACTTCTCCAATCATTTAGTCTGTTTTAACCCCTCCTATTTCTTATAATCGACTGCAATCTCACATTCAGCTAATCTGCTCCATCCAATCAACAACTGATTGATAGAATCAAGTCCCCATCCTATCATCCTGTTTTTTTTTTTTTTTTAGATTGTCTGTTTTACTCAAATGTATGTCACAATATGGAAGAAAAGATCTCTCGCTACTTCAGTTTCATATGAAGTAGACTTTAAAGTATCTAGTAAACCGTAAAAAAAGTAAACTTTTTTTTT